AAAAAAAAAAAAAAAAAAAAAGGGTTCCAAAGTTTGATTAGTGACATGATTTCTCCATTTTATACACTAGTTCATACAAAAAACAGTATGCTACAGCGGAATGCCACTGGACGTGCCAAGATGTTGGTTGATACACGACCGATGAGCAAACTCCTTGATATACTATCCCACTCCTCTCTTTTTCTATTTCCACGACTGGCCCATACTCGAGAACGGCCACGTCTACCGCTTCCATTCGTGGTTCCACGCCTGTCGGGCAGGTGTCTCGCTCTGGTAACGCGCGTACTCGATGGGCACAGCATTGGGTCCGTAGACGCCCTTCTTCTCCTGGGCGACGCGGTACAGCCAGCCCTCCTCCCTGGTTCCGGGGCCGGCGGTGGTGCGGAGCTGCTCGTTGGCGACGTACATGCTCTGCTGGAGGCGGAGGAGCTCCCTCTCGCGGGCCTCGCGCTGCTGGCGCTGGAGGAGGAGCCAGGCGCGGTGGATTGTCCAGTGGCGGAGGTGGCGGTTGCGGGCCATGCGGAGCGGGGGGGGAGCCTCGGCGAAGAGGTGCTGGCGGATGTTTGCTATGCGGTTGCCGTATTCTGGGGTGTTGATTGCGGCGGCTTTGCGGGCGGCGAGGGGCGCTGTTGTGGAGAGGGAGCGGGTTGTCGTGGTGGTCATGGTGGTGGCTGGTGTTGTGAGGGATTGGAGGCCGCTGCGGAGGCCGCTGCGGAGGGGTGCGAAGGAGGCCATGGTTGTGGGTTTCTGTTATATGGTATCTCGAGGTTTAGCTTGCGGTCGAGGCTGGGAAAGAATCAATCGTCGGCGCGATCGGAAGTGGTGGGTTTCGGGTGTTGTTTGGGAGGGCGGCCTCGTCTTCTCTTGAGCGGAGGTGCGGTTTCTGCGGCTTCTGCGGGAGAGAGTGTCTCGTTTTCTTTTTCGCGCTGTTGGTGGTGCTCCTGTTGTCTCTTGCGCTTGGTTCCTGCGACGAGTCTTTCGGGCGCGGCGACGTGTTCAGGCACGAGTGTAGTGTCGTCGGCTGCGGGTTTGTATTCGGCTTCGGGCTCTGAGTCAAAATCCCAGGGTCCCCAGCGTGATTTGATACGGTGGTGCGCGGCTACGACCTCGTCGGGAATCGGGACGTTGGCGAAGACGTCGTCGTCGTTGTCTTGGGAGAGGACGGGAGAGGAGGGGTGCCGCGGTGCTATCGGGTGCGGGTGGAAGAGTGCGCCGGCGGCGGGGTGGTGACTTCCAGTGTAGGATGCGTAGAGGGAGGCGATTGACTGTCCAGGGGAGGGTCGTTAGTGAGGTGAAAGGTTGGTGGTGAAGCTTGGAGGGAAATTTTGGGAATGGGGAATGGGGGATGGAGGATGGTTTATCCGAGCTCTTCGCCGGTTGGGTGTGAGCCCGCAGGAGTGGATGGGATGGGGGAATTGGGACCCCTGCATGGCGTCGCATTTCAGCGGACCCCTAATTAGGTACGACGGTAGCAGGAGCTTGAGCTCGGACAAGTTTGAGCTGTCCAAGTCATGTGCCACCCACGGCGATCGACGACGACACCCCTCCACATATTACCCATCCTTCACGATGACGAGGAGAGGGGAAAGGACGGGATATTTAAACAGAGAGAAGCTTTTGCGACTTACCTTGCAGATTGATGCATCATACACCAACGCGCAGTCGTAGTGTCCCTGCTCAAAGACAAGATCTCTTGCCTCCCTCTCACCCTCCGCGTGGTGCAATGCTGCGATATCGCCCAGCGCCACATACGCCGACGCCGAGACCGGATCCCTGTCGGATGTCAAGATATCAACGACGGGGACGAGAGCCCTCATGAGTCTCCTGCCGCGTCGGACCTCGTGTATGGACCAGGTTCCGTGGGCATCGATGCAGATGTCGCAGACGAGCCAGGCAAACTCCCGCACCACGGGGCTGGCGCCAAGGAAGCGCGCGTAGTTCGCCGGGCAGATCTCGCCGAATCGCAACATCCATAAAGAGTGGATTTGCAAGAGGAGCTCGCCGGACGGGGTGTTGCTGCGGCTCAGCATATCGGTGCACTCTTCCGGGAAGTCGAGGGGCGACGAGGGGCAAAACCCGATGAGGGTTACGAGCTGTGCGAGGACTTTGGGGAGGAGGATCTGCAAGCGCAGCACGTCTTCCTTGGGATCGCGGGGCACCCGGCCGCGATAGGTAAAGTGCTTCCCATCGTTTGGCGCGAGACCTGGGTGCGCCCGCGGATCGTAGGAGAAGATTGGGTCTCCCGCGGGGTGGCCGAGGAAGTATCTCGTGTGTGCCAGCGTCTGGGCGACCCTGAGTATCTGACTCTCCTCCCCGTCTTTCCCAGCCCCCGTCTCCTGCGTATTCGAACCCTTCTTCTCGTCAAAGACGACGGCCGTTGATGAGCAGCTTCTCTCGCTATGCGGAACGGCCGTTGGACTCCTCTTCATGTCCAGCTCGAGCCAAACGGGATCCCAGAGGTCCTCGCGCCGGTCCATTTGTACCTGGAGGCGTCGCCGCTGCTCCTGGAGCCGCAATGCCGTGGGCTTGACGAGCTGCTCATCGGCCCTCCATTCCGGGTTCGCTTCTGGGTTGAGGTGGTCCACCACGAGGCCTATGTGATCCCAGAGCTCGAGGATGGAGTCCTCGATAGCGATCTGCTGGCTTCGGGAGATTTGTAGGGCCGAGAGGGCGGTAGCGCAGAGGTCATCGATGTCGGCGCGGGACGTCTGCCAGAATCTTCGCAGGTTGTGCGCATCAAGGAAGCGGTTCCAATTCCGGTTCAGGCGGGCGTCACCGGGGGGTTTGTTGGAGGGGCCTGGAAGGCCTATGGAGGAGGACATCATGAAGTTGATTTGGTGCTGATGCCGAAACTGATGATGATGCTAGTGTTGGAGATGACGCCGGATGCTGATGGAGATGATGATGGCGATGATGAAGATCGACTTGACGATGGGGCTCCTCGACAGTAGGCTCTTCCCCTGTCATCCTCAGCGGGTTGCAGAGAGCGCCGGATAGGAAAGATTCGCCAGGGACGTTTCGGAGAAAGGCCATGCTTCTGCTTCTTTCCTGATTATGGTTTTCCGTCAACTTTTGGTTTGGCAGCTGGCTGGCCCACGGTACAGAAACGCCACTGTGCACCCCATCCCATTTTACCAGCTCAAAGTCCCTCAAGCATTTATTCATGATGCTCGTTGCTAGGTAAGCCAGCCCCAAGAGTCAGGGTCATGAAGACTGGTGGTGCCAGCGGGACCAGGTCGCCTTCAACAACGGTAAGAGAGCACACGTTTTCCTTCGTCAACGGCAAAGGCTCTCTGCTTTGGGTAATTGCAAGCCATACATGTAGTGTACCCAAAATACAATTCAAGCCATCCATAGTTCTTCTGTAACCCCCTTTTGTTGCCTTTAGCTGCATGTTTGTTGTTGATGAGGAGTTTTGGGTCATGTACAGCAACAGGGCTAGAACTCGGTCTTTTGGGACATCAAAGCTTCTTATATGTAATTATATTTCTTGATCCTTCATCGCTTGCTGTTCTTCTGGACAGAGAGATCGGTTGCAACCTTTCATGGGACTCATAGCACTGGCACAACTACTACGCAAGCCATGAGTTCTTCATTTTCATCCTCAATGCCACATTGAAAAGCACCGGCGTCAGCTACATCAACCCGCTTTTGCTAATCCGACGCATCCAATGTCAATAACGTGAAGTCTACGCTAGTTGTAGTCGCCCTAATCAAGTTAGTACCTGACAAAGGCCACCGTCACATCCAGCAACTTTCCGATGCCAAGAAATGGAGATCTCTTTGCATCCAACACTCAAGCGTTGGTCCGTCCTCAAAGCCGGTTTCCCATACCCACTGTCCCCCCGCATAACCCACCGACCCACCAGAAGATCCGGCTTCATCTGGTGGCCGAGGATACTGCTCCTGCAAAACCACTCTTCCATGTCGCCGTCTATGCAAATAAAAAGCTAGCCGGGTTTGGCGTCAATGCTTCCTCTCCCAATCTCACTTCTCGCCGCTGAATAAACCGACCCATTGTTTTTTTTGGAGAGAAGCTTTGGGGTACCTATCGCCGACTCGGAGCAGCACATGTCACAGAACCTGTAAGAGAACAACTGGAAATCATTCCCGGGTTTTCTTCCCGAGCCCCCCGATCTTCATCCGCTTCTCCCCGAACTGCTCCCAAACTGCCACCGCACCCGGGGAAAAAATGTCTTTTCGCTTCGAACCAGGCATTAAACATGCCAACAATTACGAAGAATTTTTAGCCGAATTTACAGGAGGTAACATGGCTGTCGTGAGATGGAAGCACACACCGGACGACACGGACTTTGACGACGACGCCGCGTTCGACGCCGTTCGCGGGGCCATCATGTCGGAGAACAACGACCCGCAGAGGCTGCGCAAGGTCGCGGTCGAGATTGCGGCCCTGCTGCCGGCGCATCGGCCCTCTGACGACGTTTTGAAGTCGGTCTGGAAGTTGTTTGTGGGGTTGGCGCAGCAGACACCCTCGGGAAACATTGCGATGCTGGATCTGGTGGTGATTCTCGACCACCTCTCTTCGTCGCCTAGGACGACGGCCACGGTGACGACGGTAGGTCGAGATTTTGGAAGAAGTGTGTCGGTTTCCATGCTGATGGATTTTTAGGACGGCTTTGAGCAGTTGAGTCGCCTTCATGGTCTAAACGAACTCCTGAGGGACTGCATGACCAGTAAGTCTTGACATCTCTAGAGGCCTCAAACCTATGGTGTCCTCAAGCACGTTTGGGTACTCACACCAAAATCCGCCCAAAGCGCCTTTTGAATCCACCAACAGGATGGATACCCTCACCCGCTGGATCAACCTCAACGCCTTCGCCTCTCTTCTCTGGTCCTACAACCTGATCGACGGCCGAGACTTTGCCATCCAGCAGCTCCGGACCGCCTTCGAGGACCGGCGCTCATCGGACGCCAGCGACCGGGACGGCGCCGACGCGCGGCTCATGGCCGCGGCGCAGTGGGCCATCCACTCGTGCCAGCGGCTGTATCACCTCTCCGTGACATCCGAGGCGACCTCGCCGTCCGACGGGCAGACGGCAGCGCCCGCGGGCCCACAGGCGGGAGCGGAGGAGGCGTCGAGTCGCCCCCGAGAAGGATCCAGCGGTAGTGCCAATGGGAAGACGACGAAAAAGAGTGACGAGAGGTGGAAGCCCGGGCCGCGGTTCAAGGGGCGCGCGGGGTTCTCGTTTCGGAGGTGGGAGTTTTGGCAGCAGGCGTTTGAGGAGGCGCACGAGTTTGGGGACAGCGGTATCGAGACCAAGATCGAGGCTGGTGCGGCGGCTGGGATGATGGAGAAGGTTCTGTATGCCGGTTTTGAAGTGTAGGTGTGAGATTCACATGAGGTTTTCCGAAGTAGGCATGTTGCGTTTGCAGAGGAGAAGTTTCAAGAGTACCTGAAAAAGGAGGAGGTGGCCAAAGTTGTTGCGAAAGATCGATGGTCATGCAGATGCATCATATTGAGCTGTGGAAATTGGGAACACCTCTTGATGGTGTCCATTCAAAATGGCCAGGTTCAGAATTGGATAGTCTTTCTGGAGTTGGAAAACGTCTTCAGTTTTATGGAACTAGTTTACGATATTAAAGGGACAATTCGTCCTAACGTTGAGGATTTGCTAATCCTTCTCTGCTCTCATTTCAGCCCTGTTGCCAACTTGCCCTGGTGTAATGCTCATCGATCATCTACATACGACTAAGATGACTAGCCAGTTCAAGCAGCATTAGCAGGCGGCAATGACCGTCAGGACAGTATGCAGTCTTGATTCTCCGTGCTTTACTTCTTCCTCCTCTCTCTTCTTAACACAAATGATGCATAGACTAAACGTGGTCAAGGTGGGTGACGATGAAGCTGGCACACACACACATACATACCTACTTGATCTGACCATGTCTATCTAACCTTGAGGTAGCTTGCCATGGGATACATGAACGCATGAGGGCTGTTTCCACAGTACCGGCAGTTCCTCAAACCTCGATCTCTCTGCTTCATGTTCCAAGCTTTCTGCCCTCATTCCTCTTGAGCATGTTTGAAGCAGTTTCGGGGTACAGTCCGACGTGCTGCTGGGTTTGATATCTACCAACAAGCCATTATGACTGGACCGTTGTGAAACAAAAAGAGTACTTCACCTCCGACCTGACCACCAATATTAGCATTGAGCGTTTGTTAACTTTACCTTGATTCACCCAGTCCGCAAGAAGCCGGTCTCCCTATTCTTCCTTTCCTTCCTACAAATTCATTCCTGGCCGCACAAGAAGCCTGGCGTAACGGAAGAGGTCTTCTTGAAACCTCTTATCCTTCGACCTCCTTCAGCTTTCCAGAGAGATCTCCTTGTTCTCCTCTTTCTTCTCCTTCTTCTTCTTTTTCTTCTTCTTCTTTCCCGGCACCTCGGAAGACGGCGACGCCGTCTTCCAAGCCGCCCTCAACGCGGCCCCCGACAGCGCCGCCGGCCAATTTTCCCGCGACGGAGCGGCGCAGCTGGCCGTCATCGACATGGACATTGACGCGCGCGCCGTAAAGGGCGAGCACATTGCCTTCCCATATGACCAAACCACACGTCGACCTCGAGGCGCTAATGATCTGCCCGGGCGCGGAGGCCAACAACGGCGCCCCGCCCGTGGAGATCAAGACGGTCGAGATGGATGCTAAAGGTATGCCGCGCGGCGTCGTCAAGGTGTCGTCCTCGATTGAGGAGGCTGGAATCGCGGCGGAGATTGCGTATTACGAGTTTAAGAGGCAGAAGAGGGCGGAGAGGAGAGGGAGGAGGATAGGGCCAAGGCTGCGGTGGAGGAGATTGGTCGTGTGGAGGGTCTTGTTTCCAAGCTCGGGGTTGATGAGGTTGATTGTTTGATGCAGCTTCTGGTGAGTTGCGGGAACGTCCTGGATTACCTGTGGATGTGAAGACTGACATATATTTCGAGTAGAGAGCTCGGGGATGTGGTGTTGGTTTAGACGTTTGGATGCCCAACTTGCTTGCGAAGGGCAGGACATTATATAATGGAATCGCTTTGATAGACGTCTGGGGGGCGGAAGTCAGGACCTGTGGAGTGAAAGTTCCACTGGCCTGAAAGGTTTATGAGGGAAGCTGGAGGAAAGGTAGAAGGGCTTGCTGATTCCTCCATGAATCGATGGCCTATCTCGTCAAGCTACTAGACAGAGCAACTGATGGTAGTGGGAGGCACTCAATCTCCTCAACGGACAGAGCTCTTCCTGGGACTAAATCGCGCACTTGAAACTATTCATTCACGCGAAAATGGGCATTTGATATGTTGGGGGACGTTGGACAGAAAGGCAAGATCTTTGTGACAAAATCCCAAAACAGGAGCAGAACCATGCTTCTAGTGACAATCAGAGAGATGGAATGCTTTAGGAGCCCCTGCGTATGTTCTTATATGTGTCCTTGTGTACGGCTACATGACAACATGAGTAGGGCTAAATGACAGACAGGCATTGCTTAGAGGAGAGTAGCCATCATTTCACGGAAGGGATGTCGATGTTGGAGCTGCTCGCCGATGAGATGACATTACTGCGCTTACGGGAGACCATGACTGGCTGCAGTATCTGACCCGGCTCATCACCTGAGTAAACGACTGAGTAAAACTGTGAATCACTATCCAGCCTGTAGACAATGTCTCATCCCGTATCCATCGTAGAAGCACGCTCCTCTACCCTCGGGTTGGCGCTGGCACTCACTACCGGACCGTAAAGGCAGGAACGGTACGAGACGGTCCTGCCGTGATCAGTGGCCAAGATCCGGGTCAATGGTATTTGACAAAGAGGGCAAGCATGCTGTTCAATGACACGAGGCCTCGAGGGTGATGGTTGCAATCAATATATCAGCTATCGCAACAATGGTTCTTCGGGCGAAGGATCTTGATCAAGCACGATCTGGCTACCCTCTTTCGCTAGCAGGCCGGCAGCAAAGTGGCCAAAGTTCTCCCGAGGTCCGGAGCTTAACGGAAAATGGGAAGGCAAAGTTACTGCGGAGCTGCATCAGCGACGATGCATCGCAGCATGATTTAAGGGGTGCCTTCTTTCCGCATTCCCGTTTGAAAGAGAGATCCGGAATCAAGCCGGCTGGTGATGAAATCTCTATTTGGTCCACTGTGGTTAAGTAAAGACCACTGTACTAAAAAAGCCTGGAAAAGCTTGAAGTGCTGGCTAATTAGGGAGCTGTGTCGAATTAAAGAGTGTCAAAATGCGATGTTGGCAGAGTCATGCGGTAGGCGATCCTGACATCTCAACATCAACGAAATCGAATCGTATCATCTCCAGCCAGCCCCTGCAGACCCTAAACCGGGTTGGTAGACGTTTGATATTGCCAAGAGTCTCGTCTGTTAGCCGGAAAAAGTATGTTCTCGTGATTACCTAGTGGTACGGATGGATGCACCGCCGGAGAGCGCCCAAGCGTTCTGCAGATCGGCGCCGAACGCAACGCGACTCGGAGCTGCCGCCGGAGCTTGGCCGAAGGGCCATCATCCCGGAGGGGGGAGACGAGTAGGAGTAAGGCTGATTGGTGTATGGCTCGTGGGTGTTTCATTCTCGCATGGCGTTGGGGGCCTAGGAGGATGAAATTCGAACTCGAGGGGTGGGTTTGGGGCTCAAAACAATTGGACGTTGGGGAAAAGACCGCTATTTGCGTATACCGAGTAGCGGCAATGAAGCTACTAAACTGTGCAACTGGTTTGCTGGGCCATGTTCCTGGACATTCCTAAGCCTGGAAGCTCGACGAAACTGGCATCACAGGTCGAGTAAGCTGAGCACAATCCTCGGAGAAAGCCGCCGCATCACCCGATGTTCGAAATTCATCTGAATGACACCAACTGGCGCATACTATATGGAGATGCTGACGGGTAAGACCAATGCGGCTGACGAGCAAGCGCTTTCAGCCGCTCTCAACATGGTGGCACAATCTGCACGCATTGGGGGCTGAACGATGACAGCGTGGACTTGATCTGTCATCCCTCCGACTTGAACATGTTGAGCCAAGCCCATTCTGAGCCGGCAAGCTTTTCATCAATTTTGCAAATGGGTCATTGTTGCAAAGGAAGTGGTCCCGCGTCCGTCGCTGAACTCCGAGATCGACTGCGTCGCCCGTGGTGGCATGGAGCTCGAGCTTTTTGTCATTCACATGTGTCGCGGTTGGAGAGACGTGAACGATGCTATCAGGATTGTCCCACTCTGCCGTCCAATGGTGGGCCCGCCTGTGTACCCTAGACCTGAATGGGTTGAACTGCCGTGGAAAAAGAATGTGTAATTGTTCACTGTAAAACACGAAGGCGGCTAGATTGAGAAAAGACGATGGCGACGCCGACATCAAATTAACGCGGGCAGTAAAGGAACGCTGTGTAAGGTTGCGTCATTTGTCTTGCGGATTGAACACTGGCTTCTTTCTTCCCGTTTCTTCGAGAATGAAGCCACGGGCCGGCCTAGTTTTGTCTGTCGCAAGCGGGAGTGCTGATGTGTTGGCTTGCTGACCACGGAAAAGCAAGCCTGGCACGCCTGGGTTGCAAGCCACGTGCAAGCCCTGCTAGATTGGGAGGTGATGGAAGCCGTGCTGCCGACATTCTCGAAAGGTTGAAAGATGAGCACTGTCCAAGCGGACTGGCTTGATTGGCTTGCTGGCTGCCGGCCGGTCGAGAAGAACGACTTGCAGTAGTTGAGTGCTTGCACTGCTCATTCACGGAAGACGATGTGATTTGTTAGAGGCCGTTATCAAGATGAGCCAGAAAGGGACAAGAGCTGCAGGGTGTTGCGGCACTACCTCAGCCCCTGCAGGAGCCCGATGTTCCCTCGAGTGTAGTCCTGTGACGAGGTTTTGAAGTTGAGTTGGCTAATGAAGGACGAAGGGTGATATGTCTGCAGCAGCCGTGAAACGAGGTGCTGATCTGACTGTTTGTCTGATGGACGTCTGGATTCCCAACCTTGCAGGAAAACGGCATAGAATCAAACCTTGTTGAGAGCGAGAGAGCGAGAGAGAGATTGACAGGGTCAAGGAGGGATGAGCAGGGGTAGCCGGTGTGGGACTCGGGAGACGCAGAGCAAGCCAAGAGAAGGTGTTGTGGAAGTGTTCGCGGGTAAGAAAGTTTCCAGGCGGAAAATTTTCTGTCTCATGGATATCGGTAACCGGGAAGGGCGTCTGATATTACCCAAGGCTGCATCCGTTTCGCAGGTGCAGGCCGTCCGGGGGGCATCGCTGGAGCAGAGATGATTCTCAACATAGATTTTGAGTTTGGGGACGCGTAGAGGCGGTGCTGGTTGCTTGTCGCCAATGTGCTTTGGGAAAGTGAGGCAGCGAAGAGTGGACGAAGGAAAAGAGGAGAGAACGTACGTATCCGTACGGCCTACGGAGTACACAGAGTACCAAAATGGCTTATCTAAGCGGAGTCGCCAAGCTGATCATGCTGATATGTACTGTACATTGTACATCACGTGGAGACGTTGTTGGGCCCACCTTGGTATTTTCGCCAAATGTTTGACAGAAAGCAATGTGGGAACACCAAAGGCGTCACTGCGCATCCTTGTCACCTGTAACTGGTGGGTGACCATAAGGCGTAGGACCTATCAGAGCCCAGTGGTTGAGGCTTGGATGGAGAGATTACTGCGCAATTAAAAGGTCGAGTGTGCTACGTGCTGTATTCGGCACGAGTTTCTTCCAAGGTGGGTAGAATCAAGGCGGAGGCATAACTTGCCAAGTGAGGGTCTTGACGGTGCTCGCAAATACTATTATACAAATCGTGAGCTGCGAGACGGAGTGGGCGAGTGGGTGAGTGAGTCGAGAACTCGAGACTGAGAGTACCGTGCCTTCGTGCCGACATGTTGCTGTGTGGATAGCTGCTGCAGGTTGACGGATGGCACGGGGGGATGTACCTACCTGCTCCGATAAGTTCCTTCCCGCAATTATATGCGCCGAATCCAGGCAGAGGTACTTGGAGTACATGGAAGACGCAGGTGCAAGGGGCCCTTCCTTGCTTTGAACTGCCAGGCGTGCCAGGCCCCCCCCACGCTCTTCCCCGATATTAATCCCCCTCCACTCATCAAGCTTCTGCTTCGCTCTCAATCATTTCCGTGACACAGTTGCCCAATGTGCAACATGGCAGCAAAGCAAGGGAAGGTAAACCTTTCGTCAACCCGCTTCTGTTCATCCTTTCGTACGGAGTACGGAGTACCGATACACAGACACTCTGTATCCCTACTTCGTACGGATACACAGCACCATTGCGAACATTGGGGTAAAGAAGCAATCACGCGATACCGAGAAACGCGAGAAACGGAAACAAGCAAACGCGTACGCAAACACGCAAACAATCCGCGCCATCTGCCGTCGAACTGCCTCGCACTCTGGCCGCACTTTGGCTTTGCAAAGTCAAGGCTGGCGCTGATCTTGCACGCAAATCGTTGACCGCCCTACTATGTACACTGCAACTCGCAACTCGCGCCTTCACGTGCCTGTCCTCGTCCTCTCGTCCTCCCAGCCAGACAGCCACCCACGGCCGGTGCGCAAATGGGCTTGCTGGGCCGGCTGCTCGGGCTATCCCACTCAGACCAGCCTTGCTACCCTCAGGGGTCTGGCGCCGATGACCCTGACCCTCGACCCTCGACAGGTCCTTGACCCGCATGTCCCGGCCCTCAATTGACTCTGGCACTCTGGGTCCCCGGGACCGAATACCACTCGACTGATTGGCACTCCCTCAGGCACGCGGAGCCTGCTCCTCTTGGGTCTTGCCTTTCCTTTTCCCAATCCCGGCTCGATGCTCAATGCTCGATGAAGCGGCCATATCTGGTTCGTCGATCCCGGCTTCAAGGCCCCAAGACAACCCTATCTCGTCCCCCCGACCGCCAGTGGCAGCAAACAGCACGACACTGCAGGTCAAATGGCTTCGTGGAGCGAACTTGGAGCCTGCCGGTGACCTGGGACAACTGGCTGGATGCCGACATACCGAGAATCGGCCCTTGAACCGGCGCAACATGATGGCAATCGTATGTGTTCGATTCCTAGGCGGATGGAACGAACCGGCCAAAGAGGGGTGGCAGCCTGCAGGGGACCCTCGCATTACTCCTGCATCGAGTGCCTCCCCTCCCCCCATCACGGACGGTGGACCAGATACAACCACCTCTTCCGATGTTCAGGCTCTCCCACCCCTGGGTCACTGAATGGCTCAAGACTCAAGTTATCGACGGCAGCCACCAGTCACCACGCATCGCCGGCTCTGGCTCTGGCTTTGGTACGTAGTGCTGCTACGCAGTCCTGGACTTCTGGGCAGTCTGCAGGACCGGCCATGCAACACATCTGCCTTAACCCGAAAGGGTAGTCGTTCTATTCTTGTTCCCTTTTTGCCTTTATCTCTGGCCCATCCTCGGACGGCTAGAGGTGGCGTCGCCCACTGCCCACTAAACTCGTCTCGTTATCGCACGCCAATGTCACCAAAGACGTCGAAACTCGCCGGGCTGCCCGTCTGGGGTCCCCTCAGATTGGCCCTTTGGGCCTTTCGCTGCCCTCCCTCTGACTGGATGCGCAACTTCTGTTGCAACCCCGGTTCCTAAACCAATTTGTTCACCACAAAGATGACGGGGATCAACACCTGAGAGATACAGCGGACCTTTTCCACTTTTCTCCAGCCCGAAGTGAAGGGTACGGGGGTCCTCGGGCAACTTTGGGTGGGTGAGGCAGAAAGGCCGCGAGCGAGGAACCTGGTGAAGAGCATGAGCACTGATTCTTTCAAGCTGGCGCAGCCCATCGCCCATCCCAATCCAAGACCGTCTGAACCCAGGCAAGCCAGGCTGTCAGGGGAGGACAGACTAAACCAGACCGGTCGAGACAGTGAGGTTGAGAAGAGAGCCCCTCAGTCGGCAGCACAGTGGTACCACACTTTAGATGCCTTTCCTCTCCATCTGCGGACTCTTTCTTTTCTCTTGCTTCACACTCCTTACCCACTCACTCTCTGTACATCGTCACCAGCCCTCTCGTCTCGAAACGACGGGGCGATGCCAGCGAGGAGACAACCATAAATCCGAGTCACTAGGGAAACTGGAATTCCGAGATCCCGACAACCTGCACTTGAGCAGCCAAATAAACGCGGCCCCGACATAAGCCCAACGGTTGCCTGCCTCGCACGTTGTCCCTGTCCCTCCTTCATCCCATCCGATTTCTCGGGTCCAGCGAGAGAGAGACAGAGAGACAGACGGAGAGAGCCACGAGCGACTGAGGACCGCCTGTACTACCGCCGCCATCCAACCAACAGACAGGCCTCCTGGTACGCCGCGTTGGAGGACACGGACAAATACTCCCATCTTCGCTCGACGCACAAACATACGCCCATCATCAAATTATCCTTTTCTTTTGGCTCCTGGCAAGCCTGGCAAGGCTCAATACCAACAGTTCCTGACTTCACGCCCGCACTAGCGAAGATCCCGTGTCGGATCACGTCAATTTGGATGCAGGTCCAGAGAGACAAGCACCGAAGCCACTCTCCCACTGTTGCTGATAGAGCCAAACCCTGCCCTGTTCTGCTCCCCGTGGCCCAAGCCCAAGCCAGCCTTGCCTTGTCACTCGGAGGCATTCCATCGCTGCCCTCGATACATAGGAGCGCTGTTCCCCTCCCGTCCCAGCCCCCGATCATCCTTTCATAACTTTACCTTATTACTTTTTCTTCCTCGCTCCCGCGTTGCGCCCAGCGCTACATCCTTGGCCCCCTGGCCGCCTGGAAGTCTCGCACTCTCCACTCTAACGCCCTCTTCCTCCGTTCTAACTGCAATTACACTCCTTTCTCTTCTTCTTTTTTTCCACTGTCCGTTCCATCAAAAGCCGATCCTCGACGGCCGACGAGTCAATTCGTCCAGTACCGACAAATCGCATAGTCCAGCCAACTCTACTTTGCCGACATTCGTTTCTCAGCACTTCGACGTCCAACACAACCTTTGACGCACGAACGACCGACCGGGACCATGTCAGCAAATACCTGGCCCGGGGCCGACGGCTCCTCCCAGCACTCTGGGCAGCTGTCGCAGAAGGACCTCGTCCTCGATCAGCAAATGATTAAGCACCTTCTCAGCAGATACGGCCAGGACAAATTGAACCTTCTTATTCAGGAAACCACAACCCCTCGTAAGTCATAGCTGATGTCGCCGGCTTCTTCTGCCTTTGACTAATTAGCCGCAGAGTCGGATGGCGCGTCAATTGTGTCGTCGGCGCAGTCATCTATCCTGTCAGATGATCAGTCGAGCGTGTGGGATACCCAGAGCATCAGAACATTTTCCGATACCTCGTCCATCACTGGCAGCATCATCTCTAATGTGTCTCGGGGCACGTCTAAAATACTGGGCCGACGGAGCGGAAGCAGCAGCGCCGCGGCTGCTGCGCAGGCCCAGGCTGCGCAACAGGCAGCTCAGACGCAGCAGGACTCGGAATCATGGAATGGTATCGACGTACCCACCTCGTCCAACACAGCATCCGACGCTGCATCTGTCTCGACCAGCGCGTCGAAACAAAAAGGGGCTTTTATGTGCGGCTTTTGCAAGGAGGAGGATATCACCAAGACTTGCACGCGGAAAAACGACCTCAAGCGCCATATCGAAGACTTCCACAACGTTAATGCGCAATGGTTCTGCCGTCATCGTGGTTGCCAAATGGTGTTTGATTGGCAAGGTGCTTACAAGACACATCTGAAGCAGGCGCACGGCGGCTCAAGGATGTCGCTTGACGAAGCGAAGGTCAATCTTTGTCCCCAAGTTGTCTTCGCCTGCGGCTTCGACAACTGCTTGCAAGTATTCGAGGCTCAAGGCGACTCGGATGCCAGTGCGACGTTCAAAGAGTACGTTGGCCACGTCGTGAAGCATTTCGACGAGGGCTCTAATAGCGGCGACTGGTCTTACTCGGCCAGGATACGAAACCTCCTCAGGCAAGGCCAAGTGCAATCGGCTTGGAACGAATCGATGTGGAACGAGGCTTCACGAACGTCTCTGCAGTGGAGCCCCCAAACTTCTGGCATATTGAGAAAGAGACTTGAATGCCGGCATGTTGGAGATGTGAAACTGCTTGTGCAGTACGCCATGATGCTCGGTTCCGATCCGAGCAGCATTGGGAAATTCCGCGAGGATTTCGTCACACCCGTTGCCGATACGTGCACCCTGCACATGCCTGGGCACAAATCCCGGCAACAGAATATCGCTGCTCCTCCTGAGCAACCAGCCGATCCCTTCTCCTTCAAGATATCACGCGGAGCGAATCCTGCACTCGCTGCCTATATGGCCTCTCAACGCAGAGTCTATGTGCCAAGACAGCAGCGAGTTGTACGGCCGCCGCAGCTACACCACCCACACCAGCAAGTACCGACGTCGAACCCGATGGCGAGCCACTCGCGGTTATCACAATCATCTCACTCATCTCACACGAGCCATCACGGCCACCCACAGGTCCACCATAACAACCAGAGTCACAGCACACTCGGACATTTTTTCCAGCCGATGCCCGAATCACAGTTGTACGACCCGAACAGCAATGCCCAAGGTTTTGGGCCCAGCAGCGGCGCAATGCATCACAATGGAATCATAGCAGACGATATGCAGAGCCTCAGAGGCATGGCTGGAGGAGCAACCGAGTCGGCAGATGTTGAGATGCAGGATGGCTTAATGCCGGATTTCTCTTCGCCGTACGCACAACATTCGGCAAACCTTACAAGTCCATCCATCTCTGGCCACCCTGACGGATTCTTTCCTCCTGGACAGGCATACTAAGCCATCAAAAGCGGAATACCTCACGCCGACTCGACCGGCCACAGGCTCATGTACCAACAAAATTAGAAGCACATAAAACCCCGGCCCCATCTCGCGCAAGAGATGTTTTATTTAATCTGTCTTCACATTTGAATTTCTTTTGTAGGCGTTTCCTAGCAAGATCATATACCCAACATCGGTCGAACGCCATATTTGGTATATTCGCAGTATCTACAGCCTTGGACGACATACGACTGGACGGAAGAGGAGGATTGTACATGACAACTGGTTACTATGCCGGAGTCGTCTCTACTAAGAGCGGAAAAGGCCATCGAAGAGGCGGATATGCTCTTTTTAGAGAGACGGGATGAGGCTCATGAAGATAACAAGGACGGACTCGGTAATATTGGATGCGGTCAAGAAGGAACGGCCTGGATTTCCGTAGCACTATCAGGTGAAAGTACGAGGCTCAGCACCTGGCGCGTTATACCCACCGGCGAAACAGTTGGGATCAAATTATTTTCTACCAATATCATTATTTCTATCCCATTCTGCTTCATGTCCGTCTTGAGATGAAGACGAGTTGGGATGACTTGTGTAGCACAGAGCAATTTCTGCCCCGGCAGCCAAAGCAACCCGCGCTCGTACAATGCCGTGCTCCTTGCGCCGCCTGTGCCGCGCGTTCAAAGTCTGTGAGAAGATGTATTGACTCAGTCGTGACATCGGTGTCGACTCCAGGG